CCCAAACTTATTTTACATGGCCAGCATAACCTGTCCTGAAAAGGACACTAAAAGAAAAGAAAACTACAGATCAGTGTTCCTGTTAATTACAGATGCAAAAATTCTCAATAAAATATTAGCAAACTAAATTCAGCAGCACATTAAAAGGATCATTTACCATGATCAAGTGGGATTTATTTCAGGGACTGAAAAATGTTTCAACATTCACAAATCAATGTGATACACCTCATTAATGAAATGGATAAAAATCATGTAATCATCTCGATAGATTCTGAAAAAGCATCTGACAAAATACAACATCTGTTCATGATAAAAACTCTTAACAAATTAGGTATAGAAGGAACATACCTCATAGAAACAAAGATCATATATGACAAGCCCACAGATAATATCATGATCAATAGTGAAAAGCTTAAAGCTTTTCCTCTAAGGTCAGGAACAAGACAAGGGTGTCCACTCTCAAAACTCCTATTCAATATAGTACTGGAAATCCTACCCAGAGCAATCAGGCAAGAAAAAGAAATAAAAAGTATCAGAAGTGGAAAAGAAGAAATAAAAATGTCAATACAAAATTCTAAAGACTCCACCAAAAAACTGTTAGATTTAATGAACAAATTCAGTAAAGTTCCAAGATACAAAAGTAACAGTAGTGTTTCTATACACTGACAATGAATTATCTGAAAAAGAAATAAAGAAAATGATCCCATTTACAGTTGCATCAAACACAATAAAATACTTAGGAATAAATTTAACCAAGGACATGAAAGATCTCTACACTGAAAACTATCAAAACATCAATGAAAGAAACTGAAGTAGATACAAATAAATGCAACGCTATCCTGTGCTCATGAATTGGAAGATTTTAAAAATTTCCGTATTACTTAAAGCCATCTATAGATTCAATGCTATCCCTATCAAGATTCCAATGGCATTTTTTACAGAAGTAGAAAAAACAACACTAAAATTTATACAGAAGCACAAAAGACTCTGAATAGCCAAAGCAATCCTGAGAAAGAAGTACAAAGTGGGTAGCATCACATTTTCTGATTACAAGCTATATTATAAAGCTACAGTTATCAAAACAGTATGGTAGGGCTTCCCTGGTGGCGCAGTGGTTGAGAGTCCACCTGCCGATGTTCATGTCCCGGTCCAGGAAGATCCCACATGCCACGGAGCGGCTGGGCCCGTGAGCCACGGCCGCTGGGCCTGCGCGTCTGGAGCCTGTGCTCTGCAGCGGGAGAGGCCACAACAGTGAGAGGCCCACGTACCGCAAAAAAAAAAAAAAAAAAGTATGGTAATGGCATTAAAACAGACACACACCAATGGAACAGAATCAAGAGCCCAGAAATAAACTCAGTGATATATAGTCAAGCAATATTTCACAAGGGAGCCAAGAATACTCAATGGAGAAAAGACAGTCTTTCCAATAAATACTGCTGGTAAAATTGAATATTCACATGCAAAAGAATGAAAGTAGATGCCTATCTTACACCACACACAAAACTTAACTTGAAATGGATTAAAGACTTGACTGTAAGACTAGAAATGATAAAACTCCTAGAAAATAATACAGGCAGTAAGCTCTATGATATCAGTCTTTGCAATGATTTTTTGGATATGACAAAGCACAAACAAAATAAAAAATAAACAAGTGGGACTACATCAAAAAAAAAGCTTCTGCACAGCAAATGAAACCATTAACAAAAATGAAAGGATAACCTACAAAATGGGAAAAAAAATATTTGTAAACCATATATCTGATAAGAGGTTAGTATCTAAAATATATAAACAACTTGCAACTCAACAGCAAAAAATAAATAAGTAAATAATAATAATCTAATTAAAAACGGGCAAAGGACCTGAATAGACATTTCTCCAATGAAGAAACATATGAAAGGCCAACAGGTACATGAAAAGCTGTCACCATCACTAACCATCAGGGAAATACAAACCAAAACCACAATGAGATACCACTTCACACCAATCAGAACATCTTAACATCAAAAGGACAAGAGATAATAAATGCTGACAAGGATGTGGAGAAAAGGGTACCCCTGTGTACTGTTGGTGAGATTATAGATTGGTACAGCCACTATGGTGAACAGTATGGAGGTTCCTCAAACAATTAAAAAACACAACTACAACATGATACAGCAATTCCACTTCTGGGAATATATCTGAAGTAAATGAAAACACTATGTCAAGGAGCTATCTGCACCTCCATGTTCATAGCAGCATTCGTTTACATGGAAACAACCTAAGTGTCCATCAAGGGATGAATGGATAAAGAAGTTGTGATACATACACACACACACACACACACACACACACACACACACACAGATGTTATTCAGCCATAAAGAAGGTGGAAATCCTGGGACAACACAGACAGATCTTAAGGGCATTATGCTAAGTGAAATAAGTCAGTCAGAGAAAGACAAATACCGTATGATCTCATTTATATGTGAAACCTAAAAAAAAGAAAAAAACCAAACTCGTACAAAAAGAGATCAGATTTGTGGCTACCAGAGGCAGGGAGTGAGGTGGAGGGGAAATTGGAAGATGTGGTCAAAAGGTATAAACTTCCAGTTATAAGACAAATAAGTACTAGGGAAGTAATGTACAACATGATGACTATAGTTTACACTGTTATATGGTATACATCAAAGTTGTTAAGGGAATAAATCCTGAATTCTCATTACAAGGGAAAAAAATTTTTCTCTTTTTTTTTTTGTATCTACGTGAGATGATGGATGTTAACTAAACTTGTGGTAATCATTTCACAGTGTATCTAAGTCAATTCATTATGCTGTACATCTTAAACTTATATAGTGCTGTATGTCAATTTTCTCTCAATAAAACTGGGAAAAAATGTTAAAATCCCCTTTATAAGCCATCATCTCAGGGCGCATAGCATTCTCCCTCAAACTCAGGCTTTCACAACTAATGCAGAGGCAATGTAAAGAACTAGATTGCTGAGGAGGGGCTGTGTCATGGCTGTGGCTGGGTAGTCCTGCTCTGGGTGACCCTGAGGCTTCTGCTTCGTTTCTGCAGCCTTGTCTCCCCAGAATAAAATGGGAGCATCATTTGTCTGAGGACAGATTCCCTAGGCTTTTGCAATATTAGGCACTACAGTTCAACAAAAAGGACTGAAGACTATCTAACAAATCTAATTATTCCTTTACAACATTAACTCCCAAAACACACTAAAAATGCAGTAAAATATATAGAAAATGAGCTCCATGGTATCTCTTATGTATACCTAAAACAATTTTAATATTTATTTATTATTTGGCTGCGTCAGGTCTTAGTTGCAGCACATGGGATCATTTCTGTGGTATGCAGGATCTTTTGTTGTGGCACATGGGCTCTTCTTTGCAGTGCCTGGGCTCAGCAGTTGCGGTGCACAGGCTCTCTAGTTGTGGCATGCGAGCTCCAGAGCATTCAGTGCGGTGTACAGGCTCTCTAGCTGTGGCGTATAGGCTCCAGAGCGTGTGGGCTCAGCAGTTGCAGCACACAGGCTTAATTGCCCCCCAGCATGTGGGATCTTAGTTCCCCAACCAGGGATCGTGTCCCCTGCATTTGAAGGCGGATTCTTAACCACTGGACCACCAAGGAAGTCTCCTTAATAAAAGTTTTAAAGTATGTTATGCAGACCAATCAGCAAGACTGTACTTGTTACTACCTGTTCTTCACCTGCTGGGGTAACCTTGGGCCCAAGCCCTGGACAGGCCTCACCCCTTGGACATGGACACTTCCATTTTCTCCAACATCATCCCACATCTTTTAACTCTGAATTACCAGCTCCCTTATTTAAAAGGAGGAATCAATTTTCCCTCACAGAAGAAATTATTTTATTCCATTTGAAAAAAAGTATACAGATATTCATTCTTTGCCTGGCAAAAGTCATTTTCTCATGAGAGTCTGAGTCCTGCCTGGTGAATTTAGTGGTGACAAATGGTTAGAGAAACCTGTGGCCCTCAGGGGCACAGTGCACACAAACGTTTGGCTGGAAAAGCATTTACATGATCAAAACATTTCCTGTAGCAAAGGCTGATAAGTTCATTTTATCCTGAAGACCATTTGCTTTTGAAGAAAACATTTAATTTTGAAGATAATTTAAATTTGCTAATTGAACCCAGGGCAACATAGTTTTTCACATAACTGAGAGGAGAATGAAACTGGAAGCCCATCTCGGGTACTTCTTCGCCACATTCCCCTCCTCTTACATGAGCTCTTTTAAATTGATCTCTAGGCTGAATGTGTCAAATGCCTTAAACCTGCCTAAAACCCAAGAGCAGCATGTTTTTCTCCCTGGAGACAGACCTCCCTAAGGCTGAGCCACCAGCCACCCTGGCCAATTTCCACTCCTTCAAAGGACCGAGGCAGGCTCCTGCCCTCACCCCATTCACCCTTGCTCCACCAGCAAGGTCTCAGAGGTCAACCCATGCCCTCCACGAGCCTCTGAACTTAGCACCACTGCTGCCTTGTCATAGAAGGAGACGGGCAAACCCCCAGGCCCCTCTTTTTATGGTCTTCCACAGCAAGGGTCACCTCTAGGCCCTCCATTAAGTGTTCAATATTTTAACATTATGAGCTACACTGTATTCACTCAAGGAAAAGTGACTGAGCCCCGTCCCTGTTCTGTGGCTCTAGAAGTCCTAAGGATGGAGTCAAGGAAGCAGCAGATAGCAAGCCCATTCTCCCTGTACCACTCTTCCAGACACATACAGGGGCCAGCAAAAGCTGGACTGATGACTGTTCAGCCTTAGAAGTGTCACATGTTGGGACCTCAGTGAGAGGCACTCATCCTTCTCCCTATACCTACTCCACTCCAGACACTGACCAGAAAGAGCTCCTTCCAAGAATGCTGACTTGGGGGCTCCAGTTAGCAATCACTGTGGAAATGCTCCTCAGGTGAAACAGGGCCATGGCCTCCAAATGTCCTGGCCAGGAAGTGCTTAAAACATGCCTGCGTGTCAGATTAAGGAGCTCTAAAATTACGAGGAACAGAACTGCTATTTATTCAGTATTATAGCAATTTAGATTTAGGGCTTTTTAAATTCTAGATATGACATTGCCTCAAAAAGGCTGTCTGAGGGGGCAAATGTGAAGCAGGGCTTATTACAATGTCATGTGTCACACTCTGAAACAGGGTGACAACCCATCGCTATTGCACAACACCTTTGTTGGGGGGGACACAAAACTTCATTTGTCAGAGCCAGTCACTCCTCCACAGCAGGCAGGGGACAAAGCAAACATCCAGACAACCAAAGCTGATACCAGGGGCTCCCATACTGCAGGTCCATCTGCCAAGGCCATTCATCTCCCTCCAAGCATGTCCAGCTTGGGGACCTACACAGTGCTATTGTGAAGACACTCATGGCCAGTCCACTAAACGCCTTCAAGGAACAGCATCTGTCATGTGTAAATGTCTCTCCTGCCGCTCCTCTTTAGATGTAGGAGGTTGAGGACGCTGGTGTTTTGGCTCCCGCAGCCTTGGATCAGGCGAGTCTATTCCCCATGATGACTGTGATTGACATGATGGTGGCTTCTGAAACGCGTCCATATGTCACAGAAAAAAAAATGCAGCACGCTAAGATATGGCCAATGTCGGCTGATGCACATTAGGAGCCCAAGTGCTAAAGCTGCCCTGATTCCTTAGAAACAACAAGAGCTAGTTCTTCCCGTGGGTGGTCTGACTGAACTGGCTGTCTGAAGAGGGGATGGTTGGCAATGGAATCGCTAATTTGGGGGATTGCCCTAGAACTGCACTCACTGCCATCGAGCCATTAGGGACAGCAGTTGTATTCAAGATACTAGGGATCTCACTAGTAGTTTGTATTTTAAAATAGACCAAATAAAACACTGGTAAAACAATTCCAATCAGAAGCATGATAAAAACAGCATTCCACCTCTGAATTCCACAGTCTGCACCGTTTGTAGGTATCTTCGGAGGAGTCGGAAGCAATGGCTGACTGGAGGTCTCTATGCAGCAACTTTCACTCAAAAAGATTTCTGACTGCACTGCATGCTCAATATTCTGGTCAATGCCCTTAAAGAAATCCGTCAGTGGGTTAGACGAGGCACCGGCACTGACAGCTGCTCTGTCTGGGTCTGGCTGCTCCTCGAAGGTCACTCTGGTCTCTGTAGATGAGCTCAGGAGGGGTCTGAGTTCTTTGTGGGTCTCTGTTAGGATCCCGTGGTTTTTCACTGGAATCTTAACAGATTTCAAAGCATATAAGTCTTGTTCTCTGATGAAGTTGTTGACTTTCTTGATATCTGCAACCTAGGGAAGCCATGAAGACAAACATCACGAAATGATGTAAAGCTCCTTAAAACTAATATCCAAAAAGTGGTGCTTAACCTTTCTGTGTGACGGTCCAAGCCCACACAGCTTAAGAATCTGATGAACACTGGAAAACTGTACCTACACACAAAATTTAGTTTAGGCTGAATAACTTCGTTTTTTTGGCTTTAACTCAGCCTTAATGTATAGCTTAATCATAAGATTTTTTTATAGACTTACAAGTTTGAACAACTCAAGATAGTTTTGGAAAAGACTTTGTTTAAAGTGTGCCTTCAACAAAATGCTTTTAGGTGAAACACATCATGGTAAAAGAAGGCTGTACCCGTTCTCCAATCAACTTTTGAGAAAACAGTGCCCCCAACTGGGTGACTCTCTCCTGCATCAGAACTTAATTTAGTAGCTGTAGTAGACATTAGCATTCAGCAAACACAAAGCCTCAGCCAGCTCTACAAACACTAGAACCTAGTTCACCTGTAACAACATTTTAAAAGGTGTGCCCTCATGATTATACGACGTTTTCTTTCCCAGAAGCACTGTATGGCCTATAAACTTATTTTTAAAATAAAAGCGACCTAGAGTTAATTCACTTCAAGGATTTCACAACACTTCTTTTCACTAGAAACATGCAGAGAATATGCATCAACTTGGAAACTATAGACTGAAATCTTCTATTCCAATATTAGGACTTGAGGAGAAAGGAACACGACTGTGAGTTTTAAAAAGTAACAAAGTTTACGACAAATTCCTCTCATAATCAAACCTTAATTTTTTTAAAAGTAGGGGGAACTATAAGTCAAAGATAGATCCTCCCTCAAGTTATTGTTTGAAAACTTACCAAAAGCATCAGAGATGGACTCTAAGGTTCTAACTCCTAAGTCCACTTAAACTAGAGTGTAAATACAGCCAACAGACTTTATTCAAATCAATCATCTTCATTATTTTCATTACTTAGCAAGTGCTTTTATCATTTAATTGAATTGGGGTGGTGGACATTTTTAATTTATTATATCCTGAAACTTAAGGTGCCTTGAGATATTTTTGTTTTTGATCCTAATAAACTAACATTAAATTTATTTACTTCAAATAGGAAAACTAATCACTTCTTAGATACATTATATAGTCCTTTGGGATTTATTAAACATCACTGTTCCAAGAAGCCCACTGCATCTATTCAGGTCTTTGTAGGACAGGATTCAGTTTTCAACCCTTGCTCTATAAACCATATAGTATGTCTACAGAAGCTGATTATAAGAGTCAAATATAAATCTCAGTACAGTTTACAGACACTATGTGTCCCTGGAGACCAGTTTATTTCCCTGGGAAACAACACCTCCACACAACATGTTGAGTCATTTGATCCTTGTTAGGTAAATGACAGACCCTTCAAGGATGAAAAGATTTTTTTAAATAAGTAGCTTATATAGCCTTAGAGAAAGCCATAGTAGCAGCACAGTGCTAGCAAACTGAAATAGTTTCTATCTAGGAGAAAATGCAGCAATTCAATAAATACCTTCCTACTTACTTTGCCATTGTTAATCACGCTGAATGCTAAAAATATAATTAAAGAGAGAAACAGGGTTATATAGATACACAGCATACAAAGGATAGATCATGCAGTTCTAAAAGAGAGAAGGCAAAACTTTACCAATCAAATAAGCTAAAACCAGCAAGAAAGGTTTAGAAAAAGAAAAGTAGCAAAAAAATAAAACAAGCATACCAAAGAAATCTTGGATAAACTCTGCGTGGCATCTCTGGCCCCATTATGTCTTAAATAAAATGTGCTCAAAAGAAAAAGCTTTCAGAATTTCATTTTGGAGGGACAAGGAAGAGGTGCAGAGAGGGAACTGCCCTGTCACCTGAAATTCCTGACTAATTCCCTCTCTCTCTGAGGAAGGGAAGGTACTTCCACCTGCCTTCCATCTCTAGTTAGACAGAGGTATCCTTTACTCTAGAGCAGGCTTCTTCCAACCACCTCTGGGGTCAGAACGGGTCCCCACCCTTCAGTGAGCTCCTCTGTTCCTCTAAACACAGGGGCTGAAGGGCAGGTGGCGCCTTCACCTGTGGGGTTTCTTACTTTGCAGCCATACTGAAGAGCGAGCTTGTTGAGGCTGTCCTCCTGGGCCAGCTCCCGCTGCAGCAGCACCACGTCCCCTGCTCCTGGCTGGTGAGGGTGGTGGGCACCCTTCTTCTGGCGCTCCTTGCCCCGGGGCCGCAGAGCTACTTGGTGGGACTCTTCCTCAGAGGAGTCCCCGGAGTCCCCAACACCATTCTCAAACATGTAAATGTGGCTGGTCGGAGTCCTACAGACCATGGCTGGGCCTTGGAAGGTCTTGGCTAACACTTCCTTCTGCCTCATTTTCTTAACTGAAAACCAAACCCCAGGGTTAATTCCACACAAGGCATATTCACTCCTCTGTGGCTACACTGAAGATAAGTGTCTTCTTGTTGTTAGAGATGACTCCTTTCCCTAATATAAATACTCAACACATACCATCGGCACAAAAAATGTCAAAACGTGTTTACGCTGGCTGAGATGAAGGGAGAGAGAAAGGCAAATAAATACACTCTTTTTTTTCTAATTGCATACTTTTTACGCAGAAAACAAGAGAGTCCTCTTTCTTCTCCCCTTATTCCTCATCCATAGTAGCTATGTCTCCCCAAAACCCACATATGCAGATAAACAACTTCTCTTTTCGGTCCCAGAGTAGTAAAGAAGCAGCTGGGATCACTGCTATGAGAGGTAAAGACTGTTCCCAACTTCCTTCCTTGCACAGACCCTTTGTACAAAAAAATTCTTGCTCAACACTTCAAGCATTCCAAAGTAGCTTCACTTAAGGTCAAGACTAAGGTCACTTACTTAGAAGAACTATGAGACTAAATAATCTTGATTTTGAAACGACTTGAATTATATAACATGTGAGGCAAGCTGGGGGAAGATTTCTGTCAAACTAAGAAATTCGTCCGGTTTCTCACAGGTCCCTTGGCCTTCAGAACCTCCCCGTGTCTGGTTATTTTCACTTCCCGACCAGTGCGGAAGGCACAATACAAGCCTTTCCCCTCTCCAAGTTGCTCGAATGAACTTCCAGAAATGAAATCTCCAACCCGGGAACGAAAGCTTCAAAAAGGGTTGGCTCCGGGTTTCTTCGGAGCCAGGAAGAGATGCGGCCCCCTCGGGACAGCGTGGCCACGGAGCGACCCCCCCCCGCCCCACCTCGCCCCAGCCCCCTCCCCGCACTCCGGGGGCTCCGCCGGCCCGGATGAGGGAGGGAGGAGGCGGCTCTCCGGGTGCCCGAGGGTCACCTGCGACGGCCCGAGCTCGGGCGGACCTTCCCGTCGGAGCTCAGCGCCTGCCAGGAGCCCCGGCGGCTCGCAGGCCTGTTTCCCTCGGAGCCCCTTCCGCGAAAGGGAGCTGACTATAAAAACCGAGAGCGGCCCGCCTCTATGCTTAAATGGGTGGGGCCCCAACAGTCCACAAAGGCACGACCTCCGACCTCTGACCTCCACCCCAGAAATCTCGGGGCAGTCCTCGACGGTCTGGGACGCTGCACCTCCAGCTGCAGGACGGTGACCTCAGAGACCCAGGAGTGGCGGCTCGCCACCCAGCCGACGAGCTGGGCGACGCCGCAGCACCGCAACAGGCCCACGCAATGCCCCCTCCCACAGGCCGGGTACCTCAGCGTCCGGGATCCGCCGAGACCGAGCGCAGCCGCCGCTGCTGCGCCTGCCGATTGGCTGCGGAAATCAGCAGGTTCCCGGGGGCGGGGACGGCGAGGCAGCCAATGAAATCAGCGGTGGGCAGGGACTGGGACGAGCCGGGCAGTGCTGAGAGGTCAGCACAGGACCTGCGGGGAGCGAGGCCCCGGGGGCGGGGCCGGGGCCGGGACCCTGGGTCTGGGGCGGGGCCTCAGCTCCTGGACTGACGCTCGCCCCACCCGCCTGCCTGCAGCTGCTGCACCGGCTAGTTCTGGCTCCAGTTTGTGCCTCTGCTCTCCCTCCTAGCTTTCCGCTGAGCCTCGGCTTTTTCACCCCGCCCTATGTCCATGGTCTGTAACGAGTGCTCAGATACCCAGTAGAGTGGGTGTCACCAGCTGAGGCCTCCGGCGGAGAAGGAGCCCCTCTGGCTCGGTCTAGGAGGGTGAGGGGTCTCCGCATGCTGAGCCTTCTCTGGCCGGAACACAGGAGGAGTTTGCTTCGCCGCGCCCCGCCCAAGAGGATAAAAAAGAAAAGTCCACCAATGTAAAACACTGAACCACACAAACACGGACCAAGGAAACATAATTTATCAAGTGTCAGATGGCAGAGGACTCCTTAAGCTTAAACGTGCTGGATGAACTCTTTCACACACTAAAGCGCAAAAGTTTAAAACTGCAAAAGATTAAAATCCTTAATTGAGAGAGACCTCATTGAATTAATAAGAAACACACTAAGATTCCAGTAGATAAATAGATGAAGAGCATTGAGTACACAATTCTGCAGAAGCAGAACACAAATGGCTATCAGGGAAGAGAAATTAACCCTCACTAGCAATCAAATTAAACCACAAAGCAAAAGGATTAAAACAGTAAGATCTCAGAAACCCCTTCTATGGCTTTCCATCCCACTTAAAATAAAAGTCAAGTTCTTTATCTTGGCAGACAAAGTCCAGGGTGGTGTGAGGGCTCCAGCACAGTCTACCTGTTCCTTTCAGCTACGCCCCACTTTTCTCTGGCCTTTAAACACCCAGATCTCCCACCTCTGGCCCTTCACAGGAATGTCCTTCTCTCAGCTGCTGGCATGGCTAGACCTTCTGACCCTCAGGCCTCAGATAAGTCACCTTCTCAGCAGGTGTCCACCCTATATACATGTGTGCTCCCTCCGTGTTCTGGCAGATCAATTTGTTTCTTCATTGCACTTCCCGCTTAATTTACTTGTTTTATTGCCAGAATCCTCCTGCCCCTAATTATCATCTCTGTTTTGCTCACCACTCCCAGTGCCCAACTCTGCTTGCACTTAGTAGGTGCTCATTAAATAGTGGTTCAATAGGAGAGACATTAAGTGACCTCAGTAAAGTACACAGGAAGGAAGTAACAGCACCAAAATCCAGTTCCTTCTGTGTTTGATTCCAAAGGCCCGGCTGTCTGGTCCAGAGCACCTAGCCATGGCCTGGTAGATTTGGCAAGCCTAGGAGTCAGAATTTAAAAGTGTGATTAATGGGAGAGGAATCAGAACAGAACCTGCAAATCTGAATTAATATAGTCGCGCTCTGATCAGTTATAGTTGCTTCTTTCATTCAGCTGTCCAATAAAAAACAAATCCAGATTCAGGAGGGACTTTTTTCAAAAGGATTACTGCCAGAGGAGAAAGGGACTGTTGCAGTGGGGGAGGAGGACTATTGCAATAGAGAGAAGGTCTATAATGCCTGCAAGCATCTAAGAGTTAGGCAGAAAGGGTTGCTCTTTTATAAAGAGGAATAAACAAGACTAGAAAGAACCAGGTGTGGGGAAGTGGGATGAAAGGGTGGCAGGACTGGATAGTAAATCCAGCCTATTCTCAGGTGGGACTGTATGCTGGCTCAGGCTGAGGCTGGGCCAAAGTTCATTCAGGGGCCTGGACGATGGAGAGAGGCTTAATGCAAGTTTGGTTAACAAGAATTTGTTTCCAATTGACCAATGGGGACAAGAGGCTCAGCTCATCATTTATGAGGCAAAGAAAAGAAATTTGTTTCTGACCTTGTCTTAGGTAAACAAGGGGGGCATCTGTGAGTCTTTAAGTCATATGGGGAAGGAAGGATGGTTCTTTGCAATAAGCCATTTTCCAGAACACTAAAACTTCAGGAGGTTGGTCTTAACCTTCATTGCTTTCCAGGAGCACATGGCTTGGGTAAAGTTCAACATTGTCCAGCTTATATCAATGAATCTCTGTCCGCGTGTCGAGCACTGGGGCATAGTAGGAAGTAAAGCTGGCAAGTCCTAATGGGGCTTACATTTCTAGAGGGAAGATGGGCAAAAACAAAGATATATACAGAAAAGAGCACTACAGATTTCGCTAGAGCTTCGATGGTTGTGTCTGTTAACAAAAATTATCCAAACTTCATAAGGGCAAAAGGATGGCTGTGTATCCTCTCAGTGCTAACCAAGTCCCAGCTTGGTTAGCAGACCTGTGCAAGAATTATCTGATTCTCTAAAGCAGAGGTTCCCGAAGCGTGGTCTAGGGACTCTGGGAATTCCTGAGACTTTTTCAGGAGGTCTGTGAGGTCAAAACTATTTTCATAGTAATGCCAGCATTATTTGTATTTTCCACTTCATTCTCTCTTGATAACCAGTAATTGAGCTAAAGTATATTGAGTCCTTCCTGAGTACCAGGTAACACAACAACAGTATATGGAGGTATTATTATAATCCCCAATTTCCAGATGGAAAAACTGAGTATGAGAGAATTGCAAGTTGCGTATCCAGCATCCATTCTAACCTTTTACTTAGGAACAAAGCCCTAACATTATATGGGGAAACAATGTGCCACGCTGAGACTACATTTCCCTTCCTTGCAATGGGGTGTACACATGTGAATAAGTGCCAGACAATGAACTGTAAGAGGAAAATGTTGGATGGGACTTCTTAAAATGCTTTTTAAAGGAAGACATCTGCAAAAGCTCTGTAAAATATTTTTACCCTTGCTCCTGCTGCCTGGAATGTGATGGCTAGAGCACCTACAGTCATCTTGGATCATCTTGGCAACATTGGAGGTGGAATCCATGTGCTAAGCACGCCAAAGCAGAAAGATGGAAGGTGTGTGAGGGAGAAATAAATACCTCAGTTGCTTAAGAGGTTGTGAAGATCTCTGTTAGTAGCAGTTGAAGTATTTCCTAATTTATATACTTAGGCACAGAGGTTAAGTTACTTGTCTAAGATATCATAGCTAGGAAGTACAAGAGGCAAGATATAACCCCAGACAGTGACTACAAAGCCCACGGTCTTATGAAAGCTTCTGAGCAGGGCTCAGTTTTGCTTTATCTGCTGCCCCAGCCCAGCCAAAGAGACCTGCTAACCTGGTTAACAGTTTCCTCTGAAACATACCCTAGTTTGGTTTCTCCCCTAGTTTTTGCCCCAGGCCCTTGGCTAGACTGGCTGAGATGCAGTTCTTCAGGGCTGAGTGAAGCCAGATAGGAGGTGTTGGGAAAACATGGCTCATCTACTGAAGTGTGCCAGAGTCACATCCGCCAGAGACAGTCCCACTTCTTCAGCCCTGAGAAAGCTATGACCGACCAAACATCCACAAGCAAACCTGCCTGCTCAGATGTCCCTCATACTCCGGCCAAACCTAGGCCATCATGTCCCTGTGTCAGCCTGCTACGGACTGAATTGTGTCTCTCCCCTAAATTCATGTGTTGAAGCCTTAACCCCCAATGTGACTGTACTTGAAAATTGGGCCTATAAGGAAATAATTCTGGTTAAATGAGATCCTGAGGGTAGGGCTCTGATCCAATATGATTAGTGTCCTTATAAGATGAGACCCCCAGAGAGATCACTCTCACTCTCTCGCTCTCCCTGCTCACACTCAGAGGAAAGACCATGTGAGGATCCAGCAAGAAGGTGGCCATTAATGAGCCAGGAAGAGAGCCTGCACCAGAATCTGAACCCTAATGGACCTTGATCTGGGACTTCCAGACTCCAGAACTGTGAGAAACAAATTTCTGTTGTGTAAGCCACCCAACTGTATTTTGTTACGGCAGCCTGAGCTGACTATGACACTGACCTTGTCCCCAGGACGCCCCAGCGAGGGCAGGAGAGATGGATGGGAGCAGATGCTATGTGGCTGTTTTCCTGGATGTTTCAAAACACCAGTGAGTACAGAGCAGAGAATTGTATTTGCAAAGCCATTAGAATTTCTTACATCACAACTTCTCATTTTTTAGAGAGGAATTTAAGATCTATAGACACAGGGGACTTGCCTGAGGGTGCGTAGCTGGTTAGCAGTAGTTTTGAGGCACTATGGAAAATGAATGGAGTCCTACGCCAGCTCTGCATTTACCAGCTGCAACGTTGATCTTCCTGTAAGCTTTCTGGACCTTTGTCCCCTCTTCTACTGTGTTGTCCCCTATGCCCAGGATGGCCATGCATTCCCTCTGCCTGGAACAATTCCAGGTTATGCCTATTGTCTCAACACAATTATAATTAACACCCCTTCCCTTCTCATAGTGTCTGGACACACCCTCTACCCCTGTGGCAGTTTTCAAAGCACATACTCTCCACCCACCACCTGGCAGACATTGCTAGTTCATCACTGAAGCCCAGACAGCTGTTAGGCCTCTGCATGGAATATACAGGACAGCCATGACCAATCAAGCAATATTGTCAGAGGAGGTGAAGTTGGTTTGCCATGCCTACTCTGTGGAATCTGGTAGTCTTGATCTGGTTTCTTAGGTTGTGGTTTCTCTAGTGACACAGGAAAATCCATTGGTCATTGTGGCTCAGTCTCCTATCCACAAAATGGAAAAATCAGAACCTCCTGACTTCTTCCACGTGTTGTAAAGTCATTGTTAGAAAAGAAGCCCTTGGAAGAAACGTGGCAATGAGTGTTAAAGCTCACAGCTCCAAAGATGTCACCAACTATAGGAATTCATGGGAA